AAGGAGGAATTGTGCCCTTCCCCAGCCTTGAGCAGGCCTGAGAGACCTTGTTTACCACAACAGACCAAATAATAGGATCTAGGTGGAACTAGCCACCTTGGCTAAATGTCAATAGACACCTAGGTGAAGTCACCCACCTTGGGTGCAAGTACATCCTGCTACAGGAACTTGAAAGAACTGCCCCTGGGCTTGCCTTGAGACATCTCCGGCTATGACCCTTGACCAAGAACAGATTATCTCACCCAACTCTCCTGGCTGAAACTAGGAAGGGTTTGGGCGGGGTCTTCCCCTTTAAATTGAAAGCTGAACATTAAAGCATTGAGCCTTGATCAGAGAACTTTGTCTTGGCTTCATCTTTTCTTGCTCTCCGTCCTCCTTTTGTTCCCAGCCCTCTTTTCAGGTGAACCTGTTCGACTCGTGGCCGCTGGCGGCTACAGACAGTGGTGTGGTAGTTCAAAAGATTAACGTGGGGTCAGAGAGATGGCTCAGTTGGTTAGATTACTTGCTGTGAAATCAAGAGGACCCGAGTTTAAATCCCCTGCATCCACATAAAAGCCTGTCATGGCCACACTTGCTTATAACCTAAGCGTGTGGGATAGAGGTGAAGACAGGTAGATGTCAGGAGATAAATATGGAGCTAGCTTAGTCTAAATGAAGGCCTTCATGTTCTGTGAGACTCTGTGTAGTGGTTCATGTTAATTTCCAATGCCATAAAATCTAGAGTCACCTGGGAGGTGGACCTTTGAGGGTGTCTGTGTAAGATTATTCTGCTTGTGTTAATTGGGGTGGCATGCGGGTATGGAGAGCAGTCGCGGGTAACAACTTATATTTAGATTAGCTAATTGGGAAACACCTCTAATTGTATGGACATATTGTTATTGAGCATTACCAAACATATAAAGCCTTTGATTAATATTTAAGCATTTGAGTCTCATTTTCCTACCAGGCCCATGTGGATGGTGGGATGGTCTGGGCAATGCCCAGCCTTGTGGAGACAGTGTGGAAGATTGGCACAGCCATTTCCCACGCTGGTGTCCTGTGGGTGGCAGGGCTGGTGTTTCTGCCTGGCTGTTTCTAGCTGCAGTGCGCACATGGCCTCTGGTCGAGAAACATGGCATTGAGCTAGGCAGAGCCACCACAGCTTAGTCAGCTTGACTAGTGGCCGTTTTAAGTAATTACTTCAATATGGTGGTCTATATTGAAATCCAGAATAAACCCTTTGCTGCTTCCATCCAATTTTTTTTGTCTGTTTTGGTTTATCATAATAGGACAAGTAACTAAGGCTCTCCTGTAGGCATAATGTTATTATATTCTGTGTAAAATATATCCTTGTATTCAAATGCTGGTTTCTATGCTCCCATATCTGGTTGCAAAACATTTCTCCCCAGTTATTCCCTGATTGTCAATAAAGAAGCTGATCAGCCAATGGTTGAGTAAGGGAGAGAATGGGCTGGACTTCCTCCCAGCCAGGGAACGTGGGAAGGAAAGAGAGGAAGTGGGGAGAGAGAGAGAGAGTCCAAGAGGCACCGTGAGAAAACACCTGTAGTCCAGAGAGCCAGATCAGTACTAAAATTCAAGTATCACTGGGATTTTGACTGGGAGGTAGCCAGATTAGTTTAGAGGATTAGAATCAAGTAATACTGCTCAGTTGTTGTGCCCTTAACACTTGTTAAATAAATGTAACACTTTAGTCTCAATTATTTGGGAGCTAGTTGGGTTAAGAGGAAAACTGCAACATACTTATTAAAAGCCCCTAACAACAACAGCAACAAGCCCCTAACACTCTCCACCTCAGGAAATAAGATGGAGAATATAGAGAAATGTTCCTAATATCTTCCCCTGCCTTCTACATGTGTGCATATGGACATACAGACACACACTCAAAACACCCCATGATTAAATGTGGAATTACCATACAAACCATCACTTCCATTCCCAGACACCCTAGAGAATGGAAAGCCTGTTCTCAAAGGAAAACTTGGGAACTGGTGTTTACAGGAGCATTGCCCAACAGGGAAAGATATCCCAGAGTTTCTAGACCAACATGCACCACAATGTAAATTAACTCTGAAAATGTCCAAGTCAGTGAAAGAAGTCAGTTGTAGAAGACTGTTAGGCTGGAACCTCTGCTCACACCTGCACAGTTTGGGACACTCCATCTGCCCTACCCACCCCCCTGCCACACCCACATTGAGAGGCAACCTACGCAAAAGTTCCAGCCCAGGGGCTCAGTTTTTGACCACATGTAGGCATAATCCCAGCTCCTAGCTGACATGTCATTTCTCTATACCTAGACTCTAAAATCCCCTTGCTTTAGCCTGGATGTGCAACACAACTGACTTCCTTCTGTAAGATCAATGAATACACCCAAGAGCTACCTCCTAATAGATCCTTTATGTACTTTTAACCAGGTCTAATCTGGCCTATATCTGAATCATGGAGGGAGATAAAAAGCATATTATTATTATTTATTGCATGATGTTATTTGTGTGTTCTTTTGAGACAGGGTCTCCCCTCATGGATCAGTCTGGCCTCAGACTGCAAGCACAGATATGCAACTCATCCCTGGTTCTATATGATATCATTTTTATGAAAAGTCCAAACTAAACAACTTTATAAGAACAGAGAGTAGTTTAGGGGCCTCAGGTTCTGGGCGAAGACAGAGATAAGGAGGTAAGGGGTAAGGGAGGTCTGACTTGGGGGAATAAAACATTCTGCAGCATGTTTAGATTTCTGTTGTTGTTAAGACTGTGTCAAGCTGTCCTTGAATTAGAAATCTTCCTGTCTCTGCCTCCACATTCTGGGATTATAGACAAGTGTCACCATGCTTCTGGGTTCTGGGTTCATTTTGAAAGTGATGAAATGTGCTGGAGAGACGGCTCAAAGAATAAGAGCACTTTGCTACTCTTCCAGAGGCCCTGAGTTCAATTCCCAGCAACCACATGGTGGCTCATAACCATCTATAATGAGATCTGGTACCCTTTTCTGGCCTGTAGATATACATATAAGCAGACTGAATACATAATAAATAAATCTTTTTTTTTTTTTTTTTTTGAGACAGGGTTTCTGTGTGTATCTCTGGCTGTCCTGGAACTCACTCTGTAGACCAGGCTGGCCTCGAACTCAGAAATCTGCCTGCCTCTGCCTCCCAAGTGCTGGGATTAAAGGCATGCACCACCACCTCCCGGCCTAATAAATCTTTTTTAAAAAGTGATGAAATGTTTTAAAATTATTTGTGGTTATGTATGGACAACTCTTCAAATATACTGAAAATCACTGAATCATATAACTCAAATTTGAATATTATAAGCCATATGCATTATATCACAATAATATTGTTTTAAAAAGGAAAATACATGCTATCTTAAACTCATGAAAAAACTTTAATTTTTGTTTTTGTTTTTTTGTTTTTTTTTTTGGTTTGGTTTTTCGAAACAGGGTTTCTCTGTGTAGCTCTGGCTGTCCTGGAACTCACTCTGTAGACCAGGCTAGCCTCCTGCCTCTGCCTCCCAAGTGCTGGGATTAAAGGCGTGCGCCACCACTGCCCGGCTATGAAAAAACTTTAAATCCTGTACAGAAAGACCAATCTACAGAAAAAAAAATGGCAGCAGATCTTTGGGAGGTAAGAATCAAGTTTCAGTTTGCACAGTAAGTCTGTTATTTAGTTGCAAAGAAGGAAAGGTAATGCCTTAACAATTTCTCGAGAGTGCAAACAGTTACCAACAGATAGCATTTTCTTGGGTTTACATTCACTTTCTTTTGTTTGGTTCTGAAAGCTGTATCAGTTTGGAGGGCATAACAAAGAACTTATAAACCTGAACCTTATATTAATAACAACTTGATTAGCTCCCGATTCACAGAGGCCAGACATTTTTGCACTGACTCAACAGGTCTGTGTTGGGCTCTCCCGTATGTGCATGGGAAGTAGGTATTGAATGATGGATGTAGCTTCACTGGCAGGCTGGCAGTTGGCAACCTCCTTGTTGGGGTTCCTGGTTGCTTATGCTCCTGCAGTCTCAGGTCTCCTCACAGTCTGCAGCAAGATGGAGGCTCAACACCAGAGCACTGCTCCTTTCTCATAGTATTTTTAAAAAGGCCTCATTTTTTATGCCTGTTTGGATTGTTTCCTTATCTAGACATAAGGATATGCCAGTTCATAGACATTGGTATTTTTCACAGTGCTGAGCAAAGCATATGTCCCTACTTACTGTACACATGGTAGTAGTGGGCAGAAATGAGTAGCAGTAGCTGCTGGAGGCATGGGTAGCCTAACTAACTTCACGGGGGGTGGGGGGAAGGGATCCTGCTGGGATTATGGAGGGTGGTGTGAGCATCCTTCAGTTTAGGGGGACCCCCTATGCCTAGTAGAGGGAAGACAAAGGTTCAGGAAAACAGGTCTTGCTCTGTCAAGGCTTTGGGGGAATAAAGCCAGATTCATTTTCTTCCGACCTCAGAAAAACTGGGTCTGGGAGTGGTCGGAAGACTTGGTGCCTGAAGACTTGCATTGCCTCACCTCCATTCCTCACCACGCCTCCTCTCCTCTCATCCCCCGACGGCAGTCCCCCCCACCTCTCTTGACTAGTTTTAGTCCTGTCTTTCCACCGAACAGCTCCACCTACAACCCGCCCTGCCTCCATCTTTCTTCCTCTCCCCTTCCCACATCTGGTCCACCGGCAATAACCAGCCCCGCCCACAGATCTCCTGACTCTCACATCACGGCCCTCGCCCCACCCACTTCGCCCCCCACCTCCCACCTCCACATCAGCCCCGCCCCCACTCTCCCTATTTCCATCTACGCCGTTATCCCGCCCCATATCAGCCCCGCCCACTAAGTATTAGCCCCGCCCACACCCGCGTTTTGCCAGCTTCCTTCCTGCCCCATCGCCTACAGCTTGTCCTACAAGCCCTTCGGCCCCACCCCTCGGTGCAGCTCCCGCCCATGACCCGCCTTCCGGAGGGCGCGAGGGGGCGGAGCCGGGGCGGGGCCGGCCTCACCCGGAATGAAAACAAACGGTGGCCTCTGCAGCATCCGGGTACTCGGCAGGTCGCGGCTGGCTCGGTGGTGGCGCAGGTGAGACAGCTGCGGCCGGCACCGACCCGGGCTTGGGCCTCGCCCTGGCGGCGCGGCCGGGGCGGCCGTCGGTTCGGTGGGCAGGAGCACTCGGGTGGATGCGGCGGGGCAGGCTGGGGCGGAAGCGGGAGGAGGTCGCGGCGGGGCTGCGGGAAAGGGCTGGGCCCCGGCCGTCAGCCTGAGCTGCGGTGAGCTGACTGCTGAGGCTGACGTGCGGACTGCGGCTCGCAGTGGGTGAGAACGCGAGCTGTCTGGGCCCACGCTGGGCCCGCCTCCTTCCCTTGCTCTTTTAAATAGGAGGCCCTAATCGCACGTCTGTTGAATGTGCGTAAGGGTGTAGGCAATCTCAGTTGATCTATTCCATAAGTGAAAGTGATACTTTCAACGTTGATTCCTAACGTTTCACTTTCGGTTCAGAGCGCTGGTATGACTTAAGTATTTTCCGCATTAGGATGTGGAACGCCCAGCGACAGACATGAAACAACAGTTCTGCAGATAAAATTGAAAAGCTGGGCTGTTAGCTTTTCTTCCTTTTGACCTAATATGTTATCCTGTTGCCTGTAACTGGAGTTTCATACGTTTGAATGCAGTGGTTTGTTTATTTATTTATTTATTTATTTATTTATTTTGAGATCGTGTCTCACTATGTAGCTGTGACTGCCCTGGGATTCGCTAAAGGCGAGCAAAACATGGTCGGCTTCAGAAGTTTAATTTTGTTAAACATTAAATCTTAATCTGGGCGTGGCACACCTTTAGTCCCAGCATTTGGGAGGCAGAGACAGGCAATCTCTGTGAGTTCAAGTCCCGACTCGTCGACAGTCGAGACTCTGAACAGCCAGAACAGCCAGATCTGAGTAGTGAGACTCTGTCATGATTATGAGAAAAAAAAAAAAAGCAAAGGAAAAAATCTTAGGTGATGTAAACCTGGCAACAGTGTGGGGCACAGATGAAGGGTTGTGATAACCTTGGCTCCTTTTATCAGACAGTGGAGTGGGTACAGCCTGAAAGGCTGTTTTCAACCTTCTGAATAGCTGAGTACTAGTAAATTATCCGTGCCACTCTCCTTAGGAGATGGCAGTGATGTTTGTCTCAGAATTTCTATAGATTGGAATCCTGTTTCTGGTGGTTTGAGAGATTTGTATTTGAAAAACTCCTAAGTGCCTTGTGGTGAGCTTGTGAGTGAGTAAAAACACACAGCATATTCTCTCCCTCTCTCCCTCCCTCTCTCCCTCTCTCACTTCCTTCCTTTCTCCCTCCCTCCCCCTCCCCCCCCATACATACACACAGTGTTCACTCTGTGTGCCATCCTGGTGACCTGTTTCTCACTGTCAGATAGATCTGAGCATCCTTTTGAAAGTGTGGTTATGGAATAATGCTTAAGGGTTACACTTGGCTTGAAGATGAGGTGGATTACGTTTAGAAGGCTGAAATTTAAGTTACATTAATCCACATACTTTTCCACTCTCCGGAATTCATGTTCACCAGTGAGGAGTGAGTGGCTTCCTACTTTGTTTGATTTGGCAAACCTTGAACCACTTCACTACCAGTTCCAGCTGCCACAGACTCTCAGCAGCCTCGCCCACCCTGTGGAATAGCTGTGCTCATGTGTGGTGCCATTACACCTCCTATGTAAAAATGGGGAAGTTAAATGCTGAGGACACGGCACGGGATTTGTGAGACAAACTAGAGTCCATATTGTAGGCAATTGTCCCATCCCCAGTTCTGGCCCAGGCTTATTTTGTGGTTTTACAAACCTGGCTGGGGCCTGGGGTTTCCCAGCAGTAAAGTGATTTCACCGTCTACGTCAATCTAGTTAGATTGAACAACAGATGTGCTATTGTGCTTTCAGAAGTACCAGTGAGAACAAAACCAAGAAACAAATCATAAAGATTAACAAATCCCAACTAAACCAAATAAATCCACAAAAAGTGAAATGATACAGTGCTATAAATTCTTTTATTTATTTATTGGTTGATTGATTGATTGATTTTTGAGAGCCTGGACTGTAACTCAGAGATCTACCTGTGCCCTCCAAGTGCGTGGATTAAAGGTGTATATCATCATACCTAGACTTTTTATCTTCAGAGTTCAATTATATAAACTTTTATTACTGATGGTTCATTGTTCAGACTAGCTTTTCTTTGTGCTTTGTCTTAGGTTTTGAATTAAAGTGGCCAAATGTGAGAGAATTTACAAAGTTTAAATTGGGTTACTAAAGGCAACAGTGTGGGGCACAGATGAAGGGTTGTGATAACCTTGGCTCCTTTTATCAGACAGTGGAGTGGGTACAGCCTGAAAGGCTGTTTTCAACCTTCTGAATAGCTGGGTACTAGTAAATTATCCATGCCACTCTCCTTAGGAGATGGTGGTGATATTTGTCTCAGAATTTCTATAGATTGGAATCCTGTTTCTGGTGGTTTGAGAGATTTGTATTTGAAAAACTCCTAAGTGCCTTTTGGTGAGCTTTTGTCTTGTCTTTAAAAAAAAAAAAAATATATATATTACCTTTTTTATGTGTTTTTTAGGTGTTTCACATGTATGTATGTATGTATGTATGTATGTATGTATAACAGAAGAGGGCCTTGGATTCCCCTGGAACTAAAGTTACAGATGATTGTGAACTGCCATGGGGGTATTTGGAACCAAACTGACTTCAGGAAGTATAGCCAGTGCTCTAACCCCTTAGTTGTCTAGCCAGCCTCTTTTCTTGTCTTTCTGAGAATAACAGAGTAAGAAGTGGAGAGATAGGTCTGGGCTGCCACTGAGTAGACAAGAGGCCTAGCACTCATAATGCAGATTGCCCTGGTTTGCTCCCTTCTTCAACAAGAAACAGGAGAGTATGCTACTCCTTGCTACATATTAGCAAGTTGAAAGTAGACATTGTACACTGGGCTGGTTATAGATACTTTTAATCCCAGTACTCAGAAGGCAAAGGAAGGCAGATCTCTGTTCCAAGCCAGCTTGGTCTACAGAACAAGTTCCAAGACAGGCAGGGCTGCACAAAGAAACTCTATCTTAAAAAAACAAACAAATAAACTAAAAACAATAAAAATATATTGCCTTACATATAATTGGATACAATAGCTTAGATCAAGCTGACTGAGGTAGGGAGGGGAAATGCCACTTACTTGGGGGATTAAGTAATGTGAAAAGCGTTTTAAAATGTGATGTGGGTTTTATTGATTTACAGTTTTACTTTCAAGGATGGCGCAGAAGAAATATCTTCAAGCAAAACTGACCCAGTTTCTAAGAGAAGACAAAATTCAACTTTGGAAACCTCCATATACTGAAGAAAATAAAGAAGTTGGTTTGGCCTTAAAGGTATTTTTTTTTAACATGTAAATCTTTTGCAGTGTCAAAACTTATTTAGTAAATACTATTCTGAAGTCACCAGAAATTAGTAGGCACAGCAGTGGAAATTTTGAGAAGCATCAAAACCATTAGTAATGAACAAATTCCTACTTAATTTTTTTCAGCACCCGAGGTACAGCCCAGGATTTCACTCAGGTTTATGTTCCCTGATTCTGCAGGCATTGTATTAATCATATTAAATATAATACAGTAGCTGGGGAAAATTAAGTTATAAGGAGAAAAAGGTTATTTTGGTCCATGGTTCCGGAGGCTCCTCAAGCTTGAGTGGTCCTGAAGCTGTGGGATTTTGGGGTGACACATTGTGACAAGCCTCAGGGCAGAGATGAAGACTGGCGCCAGGACAAACAGTCATACACAGCATGTGCTGTTTCATAGTGAGAACAAACATGACTGCAATACCAGCCTTGCTTTGCTTAGTATGTGCGCTCCTCTGACTTTTCTGAAATAGTTTACTCTGAAGTGTGGAGGCAGCAGCAACTCAGAGGCCTGTGAATCACTTAACCAGGTGTGACTCAAACTCCTGCCTCAGGCATATCACTCAACCACAGAGCCCAGTGGAGAAGGAAGTCTCTCGTTTCCTAAACCAGGAAGCAGAAAGGGATGATGTGTCCAGTGGGTCCTCTAGCTATCCCAAGGACTGTATACCATGTAAAGTTTCCACCACCTATCAATAGTAGCACTGTACGTAGTAAGCCTCTAACACAGCCTTTGGAAGACATTCAAAACTGAACATGGATGTGCTGTTCTTAATGCCATTTGAACTTGCTTGCTGTGGTGTTTTGGCTTGAGAATTAGTGAGACATTATAAAAAAGATCTTATCTCTAGTTCCTGGCGGAGCTAAACCTCTTGAACAACTAGGACGTCAGGAGCATCTTACCTCCTAAGGAGGCTTGGGGGCCCTAACAGCTTTGTGGGAAAGGTGGCTGCTAGAAGGCCTTGATTAGGAGCTTCATGCTTCCCCTCCCACCCTCTAGGGGCTAATCATGGCTTCCCTCATTGGTGGACCAGGATTTAATCAGTCATGTCTGATAGCATGCTTCTATTAAAGATATGTAAACGACGGGGCTCCCCAAAGCTGTGAGGGTGGCATAGGATCCAGGGCAGGGACTCCACCCAGGGGCTTACAGACCATACCCTGTCCCTCTATCTCTGTTTACTTGTGGCCTTGTGTGAAGTTAGAATTGCCGACCTTATTTTGACTTCTGAGTTACTGTAGCAAATTGTCAAACATGGGAACCCTGTACTTTGTAGGCAGTCAGTGAGGGTAACCTGGAGACTAGTGCTTGGCCTCGGTACCTGACATGGGGTATTCTGTAGGACTGCACCAAGACCTGTTGAACTGTTAGTTCCCAAGTTAATGTTAGAATTACCTGCTATCAGGAAAAAAATATCCTTTCTAGTTAACTAGGGTTTCTGTGGGTTGTTTGGTTATTAGGTTGGTTTGGTATGTGTTCTGTTTTAGCTTTTTGAAACAGGTCTCATGCAGTCTAGATTGGCCTCAAACTCCCTAGGACCTTGAACTCCTGATCTTCCTTCTCTGCCTCCTGAGTGCTTAGATTGCAGGTGTGCTCCACCATGCTCTGGAGTCATTAGAAGTTTTAGAAAGTGATTTTCTGTACATTTATTTACTTGTGTGGGGGGTATGTGGGTGCACATGGCAAATAGACCCTATCTCAAAAAACAAATGCCCCCCCCAAAAAAATTCCCATCCAATGACAATGAATAGTTCACTATTTTAAAAAGTCTTTTTATAGTTATTTATGTATGAGTGCATGTATTTATGTGCCTGTGTGTATGTATATGTGCCCTGGCCCTCGGGAAATCCAACAAGAACCTAGGGAGGGGGGTTGAAAGAATGAAGGGACAAGAGACACAGAGAAGCAGCGCCAGTCTAAAAGTCCTGATCAAGCGCTCAAATTTTATTTTCAGGCGGCAGGTTATAAAGACATAGCAAAATCGGAAGTTTAGGCAAGGATCATTGCTTAAGGCTATCCCACTAAGGCTATCTAAGACTGTCTTAACTGGCTTCCAGGAAATACCGGACATTCTTTAAGTTCCTGGTGACTGAGACTTCAAGAATATCCTTTCTTAACCTTGTACTAAACTGACTAGCTTTTCCCAGAACAGCAGGTAATTTAATGGGTTTGTCTCCCAGCATTTCCTCCCTTTTAACAATATTTAATGAGGCTGGCAAGCGAAGGTGGACATTAGGAGATCTCATCGACAGATGAGTGGGCATTAACCAGAGGGGGAAATATTGACCTGATCCTCCCAGTATCATTTGTAATGGTGTCTTTTTGGGGAGGAGAGGGTTATTTGTCTCATGGGTTGCATAGGATTTTGGGGGTCCTATTCAACCACTTTCTGAGACACAAGAAGTCAACACCAACCTCTGTGCAGTCAGTTTTGCTTCTCAGGGGACTCAAAAGCAGACTATAAGGTCCTCCCCTGCAGTGCTTAGCCTTCCAGCCCTGTCAGGTGTGTCCTGACGTTGTGTCCCCACCATGCCAAGCCAACGTGCAGCTCCTAAAGGAGATATCATTGCAAGGCTCAGCCAAACCCCTATCAGGCAGATCAAGTCTATGATAATGTACTTATAGAGGTTTAGATGCCAAGGAGTCAATTCATTGTTTTATAAAGCCCATGAATCTATTAAAGAGAAAAGGTCCTAATGATAACAATACTAGCAGACCAACTACTGTCCCAGGATGGAAGTGAGAAGGGTGGTAAGCCAAGGAGAGGCAGAGAGCCAGTTTTTAAACCACTCCTCTTCTTGTTCTAGTTGTTTCTTTCGACATTCTAATCTCACTCTGATCTTAGCCATACTATCTATAACTACCCTGGTGTGGTCAGTATAAAAACAACATTCATCCGTGAGGGTGACACAGAGCCCCCCCCACCCCCCCTTGCTAAAGGAAAAGCAGATCGAGCCCTCTGCATTTTTGGAGGACCACTTCAGACAGCGAAATGAGGGGATTCTTCCAGATTATTGATGCCAATCTCTAGCTGTTCGATGTCCTTGTCAATGGACATCCCATCGAAGTTCTGAGTAGTGCAAGTCCTGAGGCCAAGGTCAGTATCAGGATCATAACCTTCAACAACAAACACCACAAGTAACTCATTTTCTTCTGGAAAGGGAAGAAAAAGGAGAGAATTCTCAGGGAGATCTCTTTTCCCTGGATCTCAATTACTATCCATTTTATCTACAATTGTGTCTGGCTTTGTGGAGGTTATCTATTTGTTTCATTAATCTTTCTGGCAGCCATCTAACTGCGCCTTCTTTGGTATCAAACAGACATATCAATCCCAGCCCCATATGAGAACTGGGTCTGGGCCATTCCATTTAAAAGTAAGAGGGTCCTTCCACATAACTGTGGCATAATTTTTATTAGTCTCAGGCTGCCAGAGGTGATCAACAGCAGATTTGCCATGAGTGTCCAGATTCAGAAAATCGAGAACAAGGCATGATGGAGAATATTTTTAGGGGACCCCTTCTCGGGGTATAACTCCCCCTTTAACTTATGTAGAGTATTTTTGATAGTCTAGTGGGCATGTTCAACAATGCCCTGTCCTTGAGGATTATAAGGAATGCTAGTAATATGTCTTATTTGTTTTGTTTTGGTTTTGGTTTTTTGAGACAGGGTTTCTCTGTGTAGTTCTGGCTGTCCTGGAACTCACTCTGTAGACCAGGCTGGCCTCACTCTCAGGGATCTGCCTGCCTCTGCCTCCCAAGTGCTGGGATTAAAGGCGTGCACCACCACTGCCCGGCAATATGTCTTATTTGTAACTGGCGGCAAAACTCCTGAAATTTTTTTCCAGTGTAGCCAGGACCATTATCAGTCTTAATAATTTTAGGCTTACCTGTGATGGGGAGACAATTTAAAATGTGGGCTGTAACATTTTTGGAAGCCTCTCCAGTATGTAAGGCAGCAAAAATAAATCCACTAAAGTATCTATGGTCACATGAAGATATTTAAGATTGCCAATTCAATATGTGTGATATTTATTTGCCATATTTCATTTGGAACCAAACCTCTGGGGTTAATGCCCAGGTTGGGAGTGGGCAAAAGTGTGACACAGGTGGGGAATTGTTTAACAATTTGATGTGCCTGTTCATGAGTACACATGAGTAAGAAGTAGGCGAAGGGTCTGAGCATTTAAATGATGCAACGCATGACTCTGTGGGCCTGTTCTACAGAGCCTGTCAACAGTGGAAAGGTCAAGCAAGACGCAGCATCTGCACAGGCATTTCCTCAAGAAAGAGGGCCAAGCAAATCGAAATGAGCACGGAGATGTCCAACAAAAAGGGGTGGCATCTAGAGGCAATCAATTTTTGAAGCTGAGAAAAAAGGGGCGGCATTTGTAAAGGGTCTAATATATGGGACTGTTTTAAGAATGGGAACAGAGTGAGGAATATAGGCACTGTCAGTATACAAATTAAAGGGGAAACCCTTTAATAATTGAAACACTTTTATTACTGCAAGAAGTTCTACAAGTTGGGCCAATTTAAAGGGGGAACAAATAGGAGTAACCTGTCAATCTATAACATAAGCCGCTAATCCATTGGAGGAGCCATCAGTAAACACCAAGCAAGCATTTAATATTGAGGGGAGGTAAACTTTGAGAAAATAAAGAGAAGAGTCTTAGCAAATTGAACAATTTATCAGCAGGATGATTATCAATCATTCCCAAAAAGGAGGAGCAAACTATGGGCCACTCATCCGTGTTTTGCATGAGCCAATCTAGTTGATTTTTAGAATATGACACAATTATCTTATCAGGATCTTTACCAAAAAAACTGACGACTCTGTTCATGTCCCAAAAAGAATAAGCTTAGCAACCAAGAAGGTATAAGGAGTGAGTACTTTAGGGGGCGAAGCTGAAAGGTGAACTCAGAGAAGAGGGCTATTTGCCAAAACACTCCTGTAGGTGTATGAGAGGATAAAGA